TATTATTATTATTATTATTATTATTATTATTAACTAAATAGTAAATAGTCTATAATAATAAATATATCTAGTATTTAAATAGAAACAAATCTATATTACTTAAATAATTCATAATTATATAAAATATTATAATAATAATAATAATAGAAAAAAAATATATATATATAACTAGAGTTCATTATTTATTTTATAATTTTTTTTATTTTCCTATGAATAATTTCTAATAAAAAAAAATTTAATAAAAAAATTAAATAATAATAATAAAAAAAAAAAAATAAAAAAAATTAATAAGCCTGAGCTCGAGCTCGAGCTCGAGCCAAAAAAAATTGGCTCGATGAGCTCGAGCTCGGCTCGTTCCCACCCCTACTTAATACAGTTGGTTGTAGGGAAATTCTATTAATTTCGCAAAATATTAATTATAGAGTTAATAATTTTAGCACGTTCTTACCGAACGAAAGTAAAACTAAAAAGATTAATTATTCAAAGCAAAATAATTAATTTATCGAGATTGTGTCGTATACAGAAAAATACTCATGAAACATCCCATCATTTGGCCGTTTTCAGTTTTCTGCCCAGAAATAAAAGAAAATGAATATATAAACTATGTAAGACAAAGGGTTATGTGGCGACCAAAGTGTATATCTATTATTCAAAAGCTACTATTTTGTTTGCATCCCATAATCCAACTTGTTTTCTTGAATGAGCCGGAAATAATGATAGTAATTAAAACACCATCATTTTTTTAATTTAAGATACTCAATTTACCAAAACAAAAAAGAAAAAGGTTGAAATCTCAGAAATTAGGAATTTGTTTTATGCTGTCAAATTTGCAAGTCAAACATTATAAAAACACGACCATTTCTGAAGTACGATTAAATTATGAAAAGACCCTTGCTATTTAAGTAATTACAAATAATCATTATGAAAAATTGCCTCATTCAATAGGTAAATTTGCAAACGTAAAGACGGACGAGTAAAACAATAATATATAGTTGTTGAAGGCTTAATGATTTTTTTTTCATATTAATTTGACTTTATATGTGACCTTCATTTGCTGCAAGAACTAAACAACTACTAATAAAAAAAAATTAAAATAACAAACAAGATAATTAAGAAAAATATTAATTAATATACTAAAAGCAAGATGCAGACGATTACAACAATAAAACACAAAACTACATACTAAAACATCACTAGTACATAGCCAAGGGGCATTTCTTTTTAATAATTCTTTTTCAAATATATTTTTTTTTCGATTTTCTTTATTTCCCCCTTATTACAAACCGTTAATCATCACCATCAGAATTAAAAAAAAAAAAACCCCAAATTAAAAACACATTAAAGAAAAATTAAACACGGGGGGCCGCCGGCGCCGGATCGATCAATCGCTGTCGCTGCCGCTGTCGCTGCTGCTACCGCCGTGTTTGTCTTCGCCGTCGCCGTCGCAGTGCTTCTTCTTCTCCTTCTTGTCCTTCTTCTTCTTGTCCTTCTTCTCCCCCTTGCACTCGCCGCTCTCGCCTTCGTCGCCGCCGTGGATCTTGTCCTTGATCTTCTCGATCAGACCTTCCTTGTGTTCCTCCGGCTTCTTCTCGCCGCCGCCGTAGCCGTGTTCCGCCTTCTTCTCGCCGTGGTGGTCGGGCTTGATCTGCTCGGCGTAGCTGTGTTCGGCCTTCTTCTCTTCTTCCTTGTGGCCTCCTCCCAAGCCGAGCTTCTCTTCGATCTTATGGATGATTCCTGCCATTTTTAATTTTCTCTGTTTTTTCTTTGTAAGATTTAATGAAATTGAATTGGATTGTGATGAATAATTGGGGATGGAGCGACACTTATTTATAGGCGCAATAATCTAGAGAGAGAAAGAGAAAGAGGAGAGAGAGTGTGACTCAAAAGATCTTCTTCTGTAATTTCATTTTCCGGAAACATTATCCAAAATAAGATGGGATTAATTATACGCGTATGGACCCACCCGGAGTGCACGCGGCGTCATGGTTCGTGTGGACCCCACCATACAGTCGATCTATTATGATTTTCCTACCAATGTGAAGCCCTGAAATCTCGAGCATGAGATATTTTGGCATTTTTGAAACAATTTTCCTTTTTTTTTTTTTTTACTAATATTGACTAGTGAATGCATATATAGAAAATGGGCAATTAAAGAAAAAATGAAGGAAATTAATCTCGGTTTTGTAGATACCGGACCCGGTGATTATGCGCACATATAATAACATACATTCATGAGTATGAGTGCGGGTGATTATTTGTATAGATTTATAGTGTGAAATTACACCGTGTTTTTCATCTAATGTAACATCTTATAAATCGTGATTTAAGAACCCACACTTTCTATCAAGAATTGTGTAGAATGTAAAAGGTAGGATGTGTCTTATATTCGGTTTGCTCTTGTTTGTATTTGAATTATGTACAAAAAATAAGATTAATATTGGTTAACATTGCGTTTGAATCATTGCTCATTAATATTTGATTAGTACACACAAACATCCACAACATTTTATTGTCGGTTGCTCATACCCAAAACTTCTCCACGTGAACAATTGGAACCAAACGTAGGCTAACAAGATTGACTAGCAAATGTAAATTATAATAGATAATTACATTGTCCACTGTCCACAATACGATTATGGATCTTATCATATTATTGCCGAATCGGCAGTAAAATTACGTATTTTTTACTATCTATTTTATTTTAACCGTAACATTTGCAATATGAACTCCGATTGCACCGAATGAAACTACATTAAAAATAAGATGAGAAATTAACCATCAACCTCCCCAAAGTGTGCATAACTACTCTTTTAAACAAATTCGCATGAATTAATTAATCATATTTTTGTAGAAATTTAGATGAATAGATAAAAGATGAGTGGTACACCATGACACCGACATAAGATTAATAATTAATTGTACAAGAAAAAAGTCATGAATTTGGAAATGATTAAAAACTCTCACGATCAAGATCCCAATGCTCCCCATATGAAGCCGACAAGTGGCATCATATGAGCCGACAACTGATTAAATAATTTCTTAGTGGGTTTTTTTTTTTCACTAAATGAAACCAAAATCGAATAATCTTTATCAATAATAATGTCACAAAATGGCATCAATATGAACAAGGAAAAAAATATCATTCTCCAAAGTGGGGATTCCAATAATATTTCCATCTTTGTGAAGAATAAAATAAAGCTATTGTTCTCATTTTTTGGGTTTATTGTGTGTTACGCTTGGATGAATTTTATTAATGTAATTCTACCACACACACACGTGGCAGTTGGTTTTGGCCTATGTGGAGGGGTAAATTTGAGATATTATGTGGGGGTACTGGTACAGTGGTACTGGCTCCCTTAATATTCAAGTAAATATAATGCTGCCGACATAGTTATGGGCAGTTCTACTCTGCTTTGAGGTTCCATGTTGATACCGTAAGGCCTCTCTAGCTGGCTTCGCCACGTGTATACATACAATAACAAGTATGGATGCATGTATCAATCAAGCTTTTATTGCTATTGATCTACTACTAACCAATCCACATCTCAAAGATCCAGAAAATTGAGGTTTATTTTTCAATCAAAATTATGGAAGTATCTAATTAGGGCGAAGTAGTGAATATGGTTAGGCAAATTAAGTACTCCCTCTGTCCCATATTATATGTCTTTTTAGAGAGTTTTTTTTGTCCCAAATTATTTGACATTTTAGATTTTCAATGTATCATTAATTGCACTATTTTCAATTTTACCCTTTATCACTCTTAATTAGTTAGTGCAAAATAATTAATGTCAGGGATATATTAGTATTTTCCTATGCTTTTCACTATAATCTATGCACATTTATTGATTTTCTTAATACGTGTGCAACAACCCAAAACGTCACTTAAATTGGGACGGAGGGAGTACATAAAATGGTTACTTTACTTGATTAAGAAATAGTGTGGCAACAAATGGGCAGTCACGTTCTTTAATACACAAGTGTTGGCGCCTAATCAACTTCTATATTATTATCATTTGGGTAAATTCCATTTTTTCTCCTTGTACTTTACCCCCTCTTCTACTCTCAATTGCATCGATTTGCCCTTTGTATTTTGGCTCGATATTACTTTACTCTCAATTGCATCGATTTGCCCCAGTATACTTGAAAAATTGTTTCATTGTGGCCCTCGCAGTTAGTTTTCACACCTTTAACCTTAACACCGTTTGATCTAAGTTTGAAAATTACAAAAAAACCACCCCTCTCAGTTTAAATAATTATTTAAAAAAATAAATAAATCTTTTTATTAATTATTTAAACTGTGAGGAGCGACTTTTTAGTAATTTTCAGACTTAGATCAAAAGTTGTTAAGATCAAAGGTGTGAAAACTAACGGCGAGGGCCACATTGAGACAATTTTTCAAGTATAGTGGGGCAAATCGATGCGATTGATAGTAAAAGGGGTAAAGTCACATCGAACCAAAGTATAAGGGGGCAAATCGATACAATTGATAATAGAAGAGGGTAAAGTGATATCGAACCAAAGTATAAGTCTTTTGCAGAATGAACGCTTAACAGTTAAACATACTCTTTAAGCGTGCCATTTTATAAGGTCATCATTTAATTTAATTAAAAAAAAAATCTAAATCAGAAGTTAAAAGAAATATTAATAAAATAATAAAGGTCGGTGCCTAAACCTTTGAAAAATGAAAAAGTGGTTGACTAGGGTAGGTAACTTTTCTAGGAAAGTGGGGTTTTTGCCTAGAGATTCAACAACAGATACACCGCTCTCATTGTAAATTAACGTTTTTCACTTTCCCCAATCCCAATTCAGCCGCGGCTTCAATTGCTAAAGTCGCGTTTCACCTACTTTGACACTTTCAATTTAATTTTTCCAACATTATTTATTTATTTATTTATTTATTTATTTATATCTAAGTGAACCTAAGCAGACAAACAATGTAATAACCACTCCCTAATTTTTTTCCTCCATAAAAATCATACATGAGCATCACAGTATTACACACAAGTCATCAATATATTAGTTATAGAATGTTGCACGTTTATTCTGCACACCAAATTAAACTAATTCGGCTGTGCAAATTTTTATAGTTTGGGACGGAAGCTTAACTTAGGAGAAAGAGCAGAGATATGTTATTCACCAGACCGTTTTGAAGTTTGAACCTCACCCATCCATCACCTGATTGCGTCTAACAAATTGGCACCGTCAAGCTTTGCGCCTTCCAAATCCTGTGTGAAAAAAAAAATCGAAAGTTTTGATAGGATGATCAAACTAAAAGCCTTTAATTATAATCTCGTTGAGGATAAACGCACTATCTAGTTTCACTGTCCAACCAAAACTAACATGCGGCAGAGAAAAAATGTATCATATACATTTAGAGTTTACCCTTCTCAAACACTAGAACTAAAGCTCCAGTTCTTCAAATTGTTCCTGCTTGTATTTTATCAAGCATTTCAACACGCTCAATATCACACCCCGACTTACTAAGGAAAAATCAAGTAACAAACCAATCTCAAGTTGAATTTGTCATTTTAAATCCGTTAGTACTTGCGTTCCACGAAAGGATGATCAAATATAGAGGCTTGATATAAATGGCTTGTTTTATTGATGTTAAAGATGGATCTTTATGTTACTTACTGCACCGCGAAGGTTAACTTGCCGAAGATAAGCTCTTTGGAGATTTGCACCTTTAAGATTTGCATTTGTTAACTTTGCACCCTGGAAAAAGAAGATAATAAAGTTGATGCAATGAGTTTAAGTTGGGGTCTGTTGATATCTTATTTAAAGAAAACTTCACATGCTGACACATTAAACCTTTAAGTTTGATACTGTAATACTTATATACTCGTGTGGATGACACTCAGAAGAATTAAATGGATGTACTCGATCATGCCCAACAAATTTGAAATATTAATTTAAGAATAAGACTTTGACATTAGGCAAGAAAGGCAGTATTGAGAAAAATAAAAACTACACCAAGAGAAAAAGCTTTGTTTTCAGCCCTATAAAACAATGGATTGTAGGAATCGAACTTCCTCTGCTAGATATACTTTTTGATGTTTACGAGGAAATTTGTAGCATCCAAAATAGAAAACTTAGTTCTACCTTTAAATTGGCTCCTTCAAGATTAGCTCCTTCTAAGTTGGCATTGGTAAGATCAGCTGTCTGAAAATTGTCAAACGAGTTATGCAGATCGATTAAATAAAAGAGTTGGAATACTTAGCCTCGGTGAATTTCAATGGTCATATAAGTATCGAATGTTTACAAGGAAAAATGAGTAGAATAATCAAATTATGTTATGCAGTATTTATGCATGCTAAACCTGCAGGTGCGCAG